AACCCTAAACCCTGAACCCAAAGGTCCAATGCCGGCTTCCTGTGTAGCAGGTGCATCTTGTGCTCGCAACCTGGCTCATGCTCACGTGCTGCATCCCTGGTGCACGTTTTCAATGTATAGTATAGTATAGTATGGTATAGTATAGGATAGTATAGCATAATATAGTATAGCATAGTTAGTATCGCAAAGTATAGCATAGTAGGCATAGTATAAAACAGTATAGTATGGTATAGTATAGTATAATACAGTACAGTACAGTGTAGTATAGTATAGTGTAGTATACAGTGACGGGCACTGTAGTATAGTGCAACGTACTGCAATGTAGTGTAGTATAGTATAGAGTGCCGTATAGTATGGTATACTATGGTATCATACCATTACATCAGATAATATATCATATAAACCATAATAAAATGTAGATGATGTGGGCTCTGGCTTGGGCCGTTCCGGTCTCCTGGAGCTATCTCGTCTTTCGAACCCAGTGCTTCACGCGGCGTACCTTCAGCGCAAGCGCCTCGGCAAATGGTCAAAGGGCTCCCAGGGTGGGATGAAGGTAGGTGGGGTAGCCCCAAAATAGGAGTCCTGCTGTAAGGGATGTTTAATCATCATCCTACCTACCTTCATCCCAGCTTTGGAGGCCTCCAGAATGGGACGGCGTTGCTCCAGGCATCACCGGAAACATTGACGGAGGCTGCAGAGATTTTGGATCAGCAGCAAGCCCGGAATCAGCCCGTCGTCTTCCGAAGTCACCCTGGCCGTGCTAACATAGAAGCCCAAATAGTTACCTTTACTGTTTTGGGGGTTCCTTATTATAAATACAGTATAATATACCTCAAAAACTTGTTCTAATTTCTAAGGATCCTACAATGCGGTCGGCTGGGCTCCGAGAGCTCGGGGCATGCGTTGTTGGAGCCCCGCCTGCCTGGAGGAAGATCTGGGGGCTGTGCCCATCGAGGCCCGAAGCCCTAAAGCCTAGGCCTCTGAACCCCAAGCCCCAAACCCAGAACCCTAAAACCTAAACCCCAAACTCTAAGCCCCACTAAGCCCTAAACCCCAAACCCCAAACCCTAAGCCCTAAACCCACACCCTAAACCCTAGACTCGAAACCCTAAACCCTCAGCCCTAAACCCCAAACCGTAAGCTGTGCCCATCGAGGGCGCTCCCGGGGCTACCCTGGGCCGGTACCTGGCGGCTTTTTTCGCTGGGACGGCGGAAGCCGTGGAGGGGGACTGTGTCCTGGGTTCTTCTTAAGGAGCCTTTTGCTACGCTAAGAGTTTAGGGTTGAGATGTTTAGGGATGTTTAGGGTTTAGAGGTTTAGGGTTTAGGGGTTTAGGGTTTAAGGACCCTACCGTTTTCTATAGGTCCCCATTCTGATAGCTTAAATGGACCTATGCTATAGATCCCTAACAGGGTTTTTGGTTTAGCTTTTAGGGTTCAGGGTTCAGGGTTCAGGGTTTAGGGCCCTAACCATAAATCCTAAACCCTAAACCCAAAACCCCTAAACCCAAAACCCAAAACCCTGAAAGCCCAAGCCGTTTAAAGCCCAGGGTTTCCTTCTACACGTAAGCCTAGGTTTCGGGGGCAGTTATAAGTGGGGTTATAAGTAGGGTAACCATAATTATAACCCATATTAGGGGACTGATAACCCCACTTATAACTACCCCCTAAACCCTAAACCCTATAGAACCCTTTAAAGGAACCCTTAAAGGAACCTATAACCCCACTTATAACTACCCCCTAAACCCTAAACCC